AAATATAATAAAAATAACTATGTTGTATAAACGAATGGGATCTTTGGTCTTTTTAACAAAATCATAAAAGGTTTTTATGCTCAAAACTGTTTTTTTAAATATTTGTGGAAAGTAATTACTTGAATCCCAAAAGGGAGATAATAGCCCACAATTTAAAATGAAAGTATAATTTCATGCTTTATACTTTGTACCCAGCTACATTTTTTTAATCTGAGCCTACAACTTCATCTACTGCTCTAGCAACTAGTTACTGTCCAATTCAAAACTTTACATATAAAACCTTTCTGTTGCCAATGTATTCACAATTATTTTATTTTTTTTACATACTTACATACATAATATTTTTGGAGGCCAGGATATGTGCCACCCTGGGTTTATTTATGTGTAAATAAAATATATATTTATTTTTCGCAATAACAGTAGTCATTGAATACAATCAAATGAATACAGTATTGTGAATCTCCTGTTAAACTCCAGACAGCTGTTCAGAAGTGTTTCTCATCACGACTTCTCGAGTCCAAATGTCATTGAAGTGTGCACCAGTCGCTCCGGCTGCAGACACACGTTGCTTAAAAATAGTGGCTAGCTGCGAGAAAACAAAGGAAATATATAGTGATGTCTTTTAAATGTTCCTGATTACCATATTACTGACTGGAGTATATATGTGTGGAAATTACCATATTACCATTATTACAATGTAATGGTGTTGACATGGAAAAGGTCATTCCAGGAAGGGGGTTGAGGATGCGGATAAAACGACATCGCTCCTCTTCTCTGGGTTACCAATCATTTTTATTCAACGCTAATGATGCAAAAATTTGTATTGCAAGTTTACCAATAAATCCTCAGACATTTTACAGGCCTTTCAAAGCTGTGGATTCTCATTACACCCACAGCTGATGAGTGATGTGGATAATTCAGCATTAGGAATGCTTGCTGGTTCATTTCATGCACAGAATATGATGATGTCAGCAACCATTTCAGTAAAGAGACAAAAAGTCAATCAAAATATTTTGTCACCATGTAATATATTATGGTTATATCAGGGTATGAGGGTTATGATCATTTATTTGTAATATAAAAAAAATTATCTCTCGGTTTGTGTCTGAATGGCGCCGCACGTTGATTTTCCTTACGCTGAAGTTTACACGCAGGAGAGTATGAACCAGGAACGCAGCCTGAGAATATGTGTGGTGCTGCTGAGCCGGTGATTTGCTTCATTTCACTTCATGTCTCAATGTCAAGTACACGTCGACATTCCTTCGTTATCATTAGGCTCCATAAATGTTCACTGAAGCACATGATCCGTCGCATGTGCATAAATCCACTGAAGAGAATAGTCCCAAATAAATCTGCAGTTTATTCAAATTTGGAGTTTTCTTTGCTAAATCCACAGAGAAACAAAAGAAACTGTGCATTTGTGGCCTGTTTTGAAACGTTAATTCTTCAGTAGAACAAATGTGCTTGTGGCTGATTAACTCATGTGTTGACTCCTCCAGCTCGGTCCCTTTCCTCCATCACGCTCCTTTCCCATCTCCCTCTCCTCGTTCTTTCTCTCACCTACTTACCCACTTCTGCTGCCATCTGTGTTTTCACCTCACTTTCACTGTTTTATCCTCATCATCATCCATCACCCCTCTCCCTCCTCGGACTCCTCCCTCCTCTCCCACAGAGATATTTTGCAGCAGATATGTCTTTTCAGTTGTGTGACAGCAGGAGTCCTCCTGTTAACCCCAGCGTCTCTGACAGCTCAGTAAACTCAGAGAGCTATGGGGGCAGTGTGTTATGCCTCCATACTGCTCCTGTGGTGTCATCCAAGCCTCCGTAGGCACCAACACTCAACTTCGACTGGAAACGGCCTCATTTACACCATGTTTTTTAGTCTAAATGTCTAAATGCTGCCGCATCGAGTTTGTCCGTTGAACTTCCTTTAAACAGAAGGTTAAATAGAGCCCTACATTAATGAGAACACATCTTTTAACTCCTATAAACCCTGTAACACTGTAAAAATAAGTTTCAGAATTTATATCTGAGCTATAGTTTTACTCTCTTAATTGAACCAGGGTTTTCTCTGTTACGGGCAAAAGCAGTGGAAAACCACAAACTGTCCTGAGCAGTGCAGCTCTCTTCAATCCCCCACCACAACTTGCACCCAGGGATGCAGGGTGTGAAAAGAGGAACCTTGTTAAAGGTCAGGCATGAAGGCACATAGCTCTTTTTAATTCACAGCTTCTCTTCTCACATCTTCTCACAGGGAACGGCTTGTGCAACTGCGGCAACTGCGAGTGCTGGGACGGCTGGACAGGGAACGCTTGCGAAATCTGGGTGGGAGCAGAGTACTGAGGAGAGCGAGGGGGGCGAGTGGGGTTTAGAGACGAGAGGCCTGGCTGCCCGGAGCGACCAGGAACGCCGCCGCCATCTACAACCACGACCAGGCTGGTCAAACACCACGGCCTGGAAACCGCAGGAGGAGCGAGAAGATATAAAACATGGATGTTGTTCTGTGTGTGGCGAAGAGCGTTCATTCATTTATTGTACTGGTTACAAATGATCCTTATTAAACTGGACTTTTGTAAAGGTGGAAAGAAACAACCATATCTTTTTCTGTTTAAAATATATTACAGCTTTATGTATGTTTTGTGTAATAATGTAGGAACAGTCTTATATTCTAAATGGCTGCACACTATACAGGTAGATGACAAAACTATATGTTCTTTTATTAAGGTGACGTGTGGGACACTGCAGGGGATAATGTGATGTCTGTTTTTGACTGATATACAGTGAAGTGTTAAATTGGACTGAAAAGTGAAAGCTCCAGGCAGAGGTTACTGTTTTAGGTTTTTATTTCTTTTTTTTAATAATAAAACATTAAATGTGCCGCATGACACAACATTTTGCATGGAAAACAATGCGAAGACCTTAATCATACATGGTTACAAATTTGTTATAACATGACATAACTCCAATGGGCATACTTGCAATGGTATATATATATATTTTTGAAAATAAAATCATTTTTAATAGTGCCTATTCTTCTCCACTGGGAAAAAAATATCACACCAGACGACCTGACCATGAAACCCACACTGTACTGAAGGTACTTAATGGACATTTCCCGCTCGACTCATACTTGGTGATAAGTGGAGGAAAAGGAAGAGAAGGGCATACATAAGTTTTAGTTGTGGCATGCTGGATGTCCATGTCACTTCAAAAAGGTGGCATCAGGGGATGAGAGCTGCATTGACACACGAGCTCAGTCACCACTTGAAAAGAAGACCGATAAGAAGTCACAAAGAAAATGTAATGTAAATTCCACTTTGGCCTTTTTCATGCTTAAACTAGCCAACCCCCCCCACTCCGTTTTCTTTGTCCCATCAAAAAAATGACAGGTGCAATAATATACTGCACACTATATTGCATTAAGTATGTTACTGACATTACAGTACACCTTTATATAAATATTTTATTCAATATGTTGTATATGTGTATACAACAAACACAAACTGTATAGTGTAGACAAACTCGTTGCATATATGTATGTAAAATTAGCGGTACATACCAACAGTTCTTGATAGACATAGCCTACTACATGCAGTTCATCGATGCCATCCTCTCCCCATGCAACAGATGGGACAACGAACGAAATAAGGAGGTTGAAAACGGAAGCGGTAAAGTTTTACTAAAGTTTACTAAACAGAGGGGGAGGGGGAAAGCAAAAGTGATCAGGGTTAGGAGACGACATCACACGCGACCCGTATACGAGAGAAAATGAAGATGAACGATAAAAAAACAAAACAAAAACAAAACTGTGGAATACAGAGATCCAAACAGAGAAGTACATTTACACACTGGTCATTTACAAAAATAAAGTCAGCCTCGGAGGAGCCTTTTAACTGGACGGCAGGGCCGCAGCAGCAGCCAGCCCAGCATGTAGAGTTTGTAAGTGGAGGATGACTGGCTGTAACGAGGTCGGAACATCCAGCTCCTGCGCGTTCGCGTCAACAGTACGTGTTATATCATCAACAGCTTTTTACAGACAAATATCAGAGTCTATCTAATGTGCTTCAATGCGCTGTCATAACAAATGGCCATGTGTGATGCCAATAAACTCCGAAAACTATATTTACCAAATCAATCTCTTAGCACAGTTGCAGTTTTAGCAGCATACAGCAGCAACAATCTATTAAATATTCTAAATCTTATCCAACAAAACTAGACATTAAAACATTGTAAGGTGATTGATCGGATGGAGCTTTGATGAACTGCTAACAGTCATGATGACAATGCAAAACAGAAAGTGCAGTGGGTTTCCTCCAGGTTAGGTGTGAGTGTGCCGTAGCCTACAACATGCCCATTCCACTCGTCAGTGCCCTTCAGCTTAAACAGAGTGAAGAACGATACCCATACCTTGTTCCTTACAGAAAATACATGCACGTGATTAATTCAAGGTATACGTACTTCTCCCAAATGACATCAGTCACGACCTTTGCAGGTCTGAGTAGAGTTGATTCTGCCGGACAGAACAAAATGCTATCACAGTGAAAGCTTGGATGGATTGGATCAGAGAGAGAGAAGGAGAGAGTGAGAGCGAGAGAGAGAGAGAATCGGATTTGTTTTCTTTTCTAAACAGTTCAGTTCTTCTCGGGATGAAAAGGGACTTTGGTCATTTCAGAATGGAAACATCTGAGTGTGGTTTCTCAATGGATAATGCTACGTGTCCTCTACGTGGATGTATCGGGTGGGTGAGGCACCTTTGGCCCAGTGGGGACTGGGACCCTGTTTTTGCATGCCGGGAGTCAAGGTCCAAACAGGCACGTGACAGGCCAAGATGATCAGTACTGGACTCTGCATGCTGAGCTAGGAGACAAATCCTCTCATAATCATAATTATATTCATATCTAGTCATTTTAAAAAGTTAGGATTTTTTAATAGTCATTTTCCCTAAGTTTTATACAGTGAAAATGTTACAATATAAGCCATCTCTTGTATAACTGCTGCAAGAAGAGAGAACACAATATTAACCTTGCCCATGCTTTAGTTTGCTGAACCAAATAGGGATGCAGCCAGTATAAATGTCGCCTACCGGTTTCCAGCCATGTTGTCTTCTGGCTTTAAGTAGACGCTGCCTTAAGATGGCTGCCAGTGCTGCAGTTATAGACCATCTGGGTCAAAGCCACAAGCCTTGCCTTACAGTCCACAGAAGTCAGCGAGTGAGGGACAGAGGCCTACAAGGCCTAGAGATATTCCTAGAGCCCACGCTCTGAAATAAGATTAAAGAAAAATAGACTTCAGGTTTTTCTATTTACCAGAGAAGGCGGACAGAAGCGCTGGTGGGACTTAGATAGTGATATGTATACACCATTCCTTCCAGCGCTCTCCCACCCACACGCACATCTGCTTATAAACGTGTGTGTATGTGCATGTATGTGTATAGGGCGCTCCTCGCATTGATTGCGGCAGCAATTAGCACTTCATCAACTATGATTGCAGGAGCTATCTGCCAGCCTCCAGTGTGTTTTTAGCGGCTGTAAAAAATGAAACATCTGAATTTCCCTACAACCTCTGTGTCTGTGTGTGTCTGTGTCTGTGTGTCTGTGTCTGTGTGTCTGTGTCTGTGTGTGTGTGTGTGTCTGTCTGTGTGTGTGTGTGCGCATGTTGTAGGCAAGAGGAAAATTCTGAAAGTTTTTTGTGTATATGTGTTTTTATGTCATATCTTTGTGAATGTGTTTCTTAGAAAATCACACAACTCCCTTTGCAAAATGTTTTTAACTTTTCTAGGTTACTTGACAAAGAGAAAAATGTGTGACTGCAGATAGAAAGAGATGGAGGGGAACATACTGGTAAAAAATAGAGGACGACAGTCCACATATTTACTCTATCTATACAGTCTCTGTCCCAGAACATAGCTGGTGAACTGTGGTATAGAAAATAGATCTGAAGGTACACGCACTCCGCTCCAACAGGGCATTATAGAGAGGGGGTGGGAAGGTTTCTTGGATGAACTGTCAGCAAGCAAAGTACCACGAGCGTGGTCGTGAAACATATTCACATGAACTCTCACAGTTACAGAGGAATCAAAAGGCATTCCATGATCAGAGGTCCTCTTCCCTCCTGTGCTGGAGAAACTCGGCCACCTCAGGATCCGTCTGCCCGCGCTGAGGCAGCCGGAGGGAAAGGTGGACAAGGCGGAGAAAGCAGAGGAGGAGCAAGAGAAGAAAGGGAGGAGGGTTCACCTATATCTGATCCGCAAGAGGAAAGAGGGTCTGGAGTCTTGTCGGGGAAAAGCCCTGCCTCCGTCACACACCCCCTCCCCGCCACGCACACGCAGAGGGCGCCGGTCAGGTGTGGCTATGTGGCGGGCTTGTCGGGCTTGCTTACAGGTTTACCTCCGTTCATCACCGCCGGCTCACTTGTGCTTTTACTGGGAGGTACTGCCGCCTTGGGCACCGTCTCTCCAACATCATGCAACGATGGCTCTCTGTACATGGCGACTGGAAAGAAAGGAGAGAGACAAGGAACAAGATGTTAGCAACAACTCCTTTCCTGCACTTTTGCATTTTCCTTTCTGAAACTATTCAGGGATCATATTTTTTAACAAGCCTTGCCTTTGCACTGAGGACACCCTGCAATTTAAAGATGGAAAAAACAGCTGATTTTTGCCTCTGGGCTTCTTGCTCCATCACGGCTGATTCTGAATCTAATCAAATGATTTTCGACAAAACAGCAGTGTCTCATTACAGCCCACTTTACAGCCACTACACTACAGCTGTATTACTGTCTCGACAGGACACTTCAACTTGATTCTAGGTTTAATGATGGGAAGCAATCAGGCTGGTGACTGACGAGAGTGAGAGTGGCATCTGCTGGACTATCAACATTTCATACTGCACCAACCGAGCTGTCCTGCCTCCCACACTGTGTCTGCTTACGACAGCAAAACTGAGAATCAGCACACAAATAGAAAAAATACGCCCAAGATATTTCACATACAGTAACCTTTAAGTGTATTATTGATTTCTATTAAAAAAATATCCACATTTCAGATGTTTCAGACATCACAGTTTATAGTAATGAGGATTATTTGCCTGAGTCTCCCTAGGTGAGTAGAAAATGACAGAACTCTGTGTTAGTGGCCGAGCACAACGCAATGTCTGAGCTAGACTGACAGTTTTTATTTTCCTGTCAAGCACCCATGTTGTACACTCGCTCCAATCTGAGCTCCCTTGGGCTTGTTGGTTGTAAAATGACATGTGGTCAGATGCATTGTTGGTGCACTGCTATGTTGAGGAAATGGAAAGTGACCAAGAAAAACCTGCTCTACAGGCAATGGTTCAGTTTTAGATTTTTTCAAGATATCACTATGGGCCTAAACAGACCTCATCTTTCTTACTTCCATTCAAATCTGCATTTCATCCGGTAAAGTCCAATGCACCCAACCTTAAACGGGAATGGCTGATGGCTTTCTCATTACTGAACTGCATGTCTCACACAAAACACAGATTTGTGATTAATAAAGTTAAACTGTTCTCAGTGCAGAGACCTAAAAACAAACTATGTTATTATTCTGCAACTTCACCAGCTTTTCTTTGGTATTAAACCCAGAAGACACAAACAAATAAAAACTTAGCTGAGCAGTGTAGTTTCTGGAAACACTGGTGGGCGAGTGACCACACAGTGTCTGTATTCACTCAAATTAAAGAGCCTATGCACATATATATAGTGTATCAGGATCTCAAATATTTTCCAGAATGATAAATTCATTGTTGATTTTAGTCTCGTAAACCATCTTTAAACTTGATAAATTAAAACATATATATAATTTACCTTCTAATGGCTTGGGCAGGAAGTGAGCAGCTGGTTTTGTTTTCTTCACTCGGTTCCCCTTCATGGCTTGGCCCTCTTTGTTGAGCCCTAGAAACCAAGCTCTCCCCGACTCCTGTTGTCTGTACAACATGGACGAGTAGATCACATAGTAGTTCTCGAACACCGACTCTTTGAACTTGCACTCCGCCGTAAAGAGTTCCTGCAAAAACACACAAACAAAAACACAATGAAATCCTAGCAGCACATAAAACATTTAATTTACCCACCTCACACTGTGCGGGGGGGGGGGGGGCATGTCTGTGGACTCAAATTATTAATTCATGCTTCATATTATGTAAGAATGAAAAAGATCATAAATTATATCTGAACGTGTATGAAGGTCACCAGCAAGTGTAACATCACTGCAGGTTTAGAAACTGCATCGCCAGGACTTCATACTTCCACCTGTCGTGAAAAGGACGAGCGCTGCAGAGTCCATGGCGCTATAATCACGTCTGATTCACGCCAAGCCTAATGACCTGCTCTGATGAAATGCACCTCTCATGCTGTCCTTGGCCTTAACCTTGACACCACACTCGTTTAGTCAATTAGCTCCTGTTCCTGGCAGCGAGTATATATTGTTCGGCTCTGACCCCAGCACACGTGCTTCCCCCCAGTCACACTCATAGCTTGTTCTTCAATCTTTTTATCGGTAAAATCCAGGAGGGATCATTCTTCCAAAATGCCGCTATTGGCAATTTCTATGACTGCCTTCTGAACTTGGTGCGAATAATGATAGAACTAATCAAGTTACTCTTCCATCCTTTACATCTCAATCTGGCAATGACGAATGAACACAGAGGCACCACATCTCTCTCTGCTGTTGCCCATTCATCTCCAACCAGAAGGGTAATAAAGAGCGTTTCCACATTGTCCGCCCAGCCAGGCTAAAAATAAAAGCATTCATCAGGATGTGTTAATCAAAGCACACTCATCACAAAGGAGGGTTTCACCACATCTGTTGTTTGCAATGCACACTGGCTCACTGAACTACAGAGAGCATGTGTTAAAAAATCATCTCCTGTGTCACAGCAGTTCTCAATGTCAGGGTCAGAGGTCATTGAGAAGTTTCCTTAGGGAGCCACAAATGTGCAGATACCTGAATATCTCTGCATCAAATAAGTAAAATGCTTTTGATGTATCTAGAGTCGTTTTTCAACCAACAGTACTCTGAAAACTACCTCCGGAAACAAGACATTTCACTTAAAACCAAAACTAACAACCTCACAGTTGTGCTAGAAGATAGAATCTTCTTTGGACAATGAATGAATCCAGCAAATCTCACAGCAATCTAATTGTTGTTGCATTATTTCAGCAATGTGACGGATCAACTAACACATATTTCCATGATACTAGTGCGGCTAAACATGTGACAATGTTCCAGGTTCATTGTTAAAGTTGTTTTGTGAATCTCCTCTACTGGGGCTTCACAGAACATGACTTATTGGCTTAATTCTCAAATTTGAACACAGGACACACTGTGCCGTGATTATGGTATAATTAGCCCTTTGGTGAATCACTCCTGTCAGAGCTTATCCTCCAGACACTGTTCAGTTGAAAGCAGAGCAGGCACTTGGGATGACCATAATGATCCTGACAAGCACCCGGCTGTATTTTGAGTGTCCTCTCTATCCTTGACTGAGGACTCCTGGGCATTTCTGAGTTGAAGGCACGAACGCATGATGCATTACAATAGCATCAGCTGAGATGTCAATAAAAACTCTGGAAGATGATTCTTCTAGCTGCAATTACAGTGAGAACCTGTCAGAGCAGGCATTAATAGGTCAGAGTAGCGAGCGGTTGAAAGCCTAAACCAAGAGCATTAACTTCAGATTATTCTAGAGGCAAACGTTTGGCGTAATATCAGAAGTATTAATGCTGCGTCCGTGCAGAGGCTGAGCAGAATAATCTATAACATATCTATTGATAGGCAGACACACTGCAGGTCCAAGCATAAATACTGAGCCTCTCAAGATAAAACCCAGAGCATGAGGGCATCTAGAATTTGACAAATAAATGAACATTCTCCCAGGAAAATGCACAGGCTGGATCCCATCGGTATTCATTTTATTGCTGTCATTAGGATTTGTTGTGTGTCAGCAGCAGGCAGCGGTTTGTCAAAAGGGCTGTTTATTATGTTCAAGATGTCAGAAAGGCCGAGCTGTGTCCTTTCTGCCAGGACAGGACGATGACAGAACACCCTGTTACAGACTGTCCACAACTTAATCATCCAAAATTATACATAAAGTATCTCAAGTTATTTATCTTCAGCCGACAACCAGAATAAATGTCTTCAATGTTGTGTTTCATTTGTGCATCCTCATAACCTTTGTTCCCTGAAACTCTTAGAAACACTCTTTTCATGCTGAAACAAACAAAACTGCTGAGCGGATTAGAAGGCAACACACTTTTACCTTCATGCTTCCCTGACTTGCCTCAATTAGGTAATTAATTCTACTTTTTCCCCGTCAGGTGAGTTGCACCACAGGTTAGTGGGCTGCTGTAATAAGACTTGTCATTTTGATGCAGGTCCAGGTTTTGCCGATGTAGCGCTGATTACTGATACAGCACTGAAAAAAAAACAGCCTGGAGTCGGAGTAATCATACAAGCTGGTGGCCAGGCTTTAAGTGTGGCTAATCAAACGCCTTTACATGACACAGAAAGAAGTCTTTGTTTACGGACGCAGAGGAAGTGGGGGTGGTTGTTTGTTGAATCACACTTGATGGCAAACAAACATTTCCTTCACTGTAATCAGTTTGATTTGACGATCAGAGCTGTAACGGCAGCTGATTTAATATGAGCTGCATTTTAAGTCTGTAAAATTTCAACAAGCCAAATGTTTTAATCATATTTCCAACATTTTCTATCAATTCATCTTCATACACATGCCCTGGGCTCGTGCATCTCTGCCACAATAAGAAAGGGTCTTCCCCAAACTGTTGCCACAATCATGCAAACACCCTATTGACTCAAAGCTATTTGTCTTATCATACTTTTACATTGACACAGGATTAAACAATCTCTGTCGCTCAGGAGAGCATTATTCTACGCTAGGGCCCAAAAGCCTCTTATATTAGTAATCAGTAATTTTGTGTCATCTTGTTTACAATCAAACAAACCTACAAAACAACTAACAAATAATTGGACATGGGTGAAAACATGATGTCTTCGGTGGAGGTAATTACTCAACATGACAAAGAATAACATGTCCGAGGTGTTTTATCCCCTTTGAACCTATTGTTTTGGTCGTGTTAACTGCTCTTTCTACTGCCCCCAAGTGGCCAATAAAACAAAAAGGCACTTTAATTTGAACAAAAAAAACACAATAAGTTTCTTACTCTGACTTTTTTTTGATCGATTATAAAATATTTGAACTTTATGGCAGTGCAACAGCCACTGTTCCTTAGCGACACACTCTGCTAGAATGTCTCTACTTCAGTTTTTGGCTGGAGAACGGAAAATGACAGACAAAAAAATCCTCTTAAGATTCCACGGTAGAACAATATAATGCTGGTCTCTGAGGGAGTAGCCGTCCTTATCGCGTCTGTACATACAAAGCCATGCAGACTCACTGGATGCACACAGAATGTACACAGCTGGATTCTGATATTTTTACCTGTTCATAGAGTTGATATCATTCATTCATGTATATGATTCTGAGCTATTAATCCTCAGGCTTCATAATGTTGTGTAAATTAAATATTCTCTACATTAACATCACTCTGACCCTAATACAACAACTTTTCACTCGTCTTATGATAATTTCAAAGAAGCAGTCAAATCAGTTTCGCCTTATTTGCTGTGTAATTCTACCCAGCATCAAACTAATATAGAAAAATGTGGGTGACATTGGAGGAGAGGGAGGAGAGGGAGACTCAGACAGAGCACCCACTTTCACACCAGTGGCAAATCGAATCATTTTCGAGGCACCAAACGGTTGATTTTCCTCCTGCTCGATCTCCCCGGCTGGCGCTGCACATCAGTGGCTCCCTGGCCCGTGATTGGCCATGCTCTGAATGGGAAGGCCGTAATTGACCTTGGCCACAGACAGCGCGAGGGCCAAAACTGCTCAGCCCCACATAATCAGCCCCAGTCACCAAAGCAAAAAAGACAGGGGCAGAAAATAAAGGTGGAGATGAGCAGTTAGAGCAATAAAAGCAAAGCAGACACTGACTTAAAGAGAGAAACGATTGTGGGTGAGGGGAAGGAAGGGGGGAATCCAGGGAGGAGTACAAAAAAAAATGGGATTAAAAAAAAAGAGGAATTCATACAGACAGGGGAGAGTGGGAGTTTGAAATAAAAGCCCTGGAAGCGGTGAATAGGCGTTTAAAGACAAGAGCAAAAAGATTCACTCTGAAAAACATCCTTTGGGGAAAAAAAAAATCATATGATTGCGGAACATGACCGCCTAAAAGTGGGTGACAGGAAGCTGAAAAAGGGGAGGGGGACGCACATTAATATGCAGAGTGACTGCTCACTATACCCCACTGTTGAAACGGAGAAATTGTTTATTAATGCTGCCAGCATAAAAGCTATTAATCCATGGAAAAAGGTCAACCTCCAGAAAGCTGAGCTGCATTCACAATGCTAAGCTGCTCTCATATGTATAAGAGTCACGTCTGCAGTGTGTGTGCAGACAATGGGGGCTTCGGCGGGCTCGTCTGATTATCCAACCTGGAGGGGGAAGAGGAGACAGGGACCAAATGAGGAGAGTTGCTGCTTGACAGCTGGATGAACAGTGTGTACAGTATCTGTTTGGTGTTTGTTTTCCAGGGTGATCCGAAGACACGGGACAGGACTAGAATTATATGGTCAGATTGTCACATGAGAAAACTCCCACTGGGGATTTTCCGTATGGTCACGACCTCGTGACAAGAAGTTAAAGCGTGAGAACATCTGCAGTCAGCTGCTGATTTAAAAATTACAAGAACAAGAAGACTTCCTTATTTTAAAAGTATGTTTTTATGGAAAAGACTTGCGAGGCTGCATGTTTGAGTGTGACAGCATGAAAACGTGGAACAGAAGTCAAAGTAAGATCAAGGCGACGTCTTGGCTGAGCCTCAATGTCAACGTTAAAGTAACATCCCTTGACTTTGACTCTTTTGTCTTTGCAGATCCTTTTAATGTGCAGACAGTAAAAATGCACGTTGTCACGCTTC